CTACATGCCAAACCTTTTATTATCTGTTTGAATAACTGAGCAGATTTGTCCTCTTCTAACTGAATCAATTTGCATAAGTACTGTCATGACCAAAACCGAGAAAGCAGTATATGTTCTAAATTTTTAAAATATTTAATGTATCTTTACTAGACTTTTAAGTATTTAAAAAGAACTCAGACATAGTTCCCTGATGTCTTCCTGTATTATGTGAGCTATGAGATTGTATTTGTATTGATAGGCATGCAAATACCCTAGTCTTCAAATGTCGCAATCTGACGCAATGTACAATGCCCTCATAGGACTAAACCTCGATCAATGTCAGTCCATAATGCTGATCTAGCCATAAGAAGAGGAAGTTATGATTGTGGTTGCCGTCTTTTTACATTACACCTGCTTCTTGCTCTTAGCTACACACAATGAATAAATAAATCTTCCTTACTCAAGATTGCCCTTCCTATGGCCATATTTAAAGTCATAGAGTCATACAGATGTACAACACGGAAACAGACCCTTCAGTCCAATCATCCATGCTGATAAGATGTTCTAAATAAATCTAGTCCCAGTTGTCAGCAACTAGCCTATATCCCTCTAAACCCTTCCTATTCATATACCCTCCAGATGCCTTTTATATGTTCTAATTGTACCAGCTGCCACCACCTTCCCTGGCAGCTCATTCCACACATGCACCATTCTCTATGTGAAAAGCTGCCCATTAGGTCCCTTTTAATTTTTTTTCCCTCTCACCTTAAACCCACGCCCTCTAGTTTTGGACTCCCCAAGCCTACAGAAAAGACTTTTGTCTATTCAGCCTATCCATGCCCCTCATGATTTTATAAACATTCATAAGGTCACCCCTCGGCGTTCGACACTCAGGGAAGGTAGCCCCAGCTTATTCTCCCCTATAGCTCAAACCCTCCGACCCCAGCAAAATCCTTGTAAATCTTTTCTAAACCCTTTCAAGTTTCAATCCAAAGATGTGCAGGTTAGGTGAATGGGCCATGCTAAATTGCCCATAGGGATGTGTAGATGAGGTGGGTTATAGGGAGATGAGTCTAGGTGGGATGCTCTGAGGTTTGGTGTGGACTTGTTGGGCCAAAGATCCTGCTTCCACACTGTAGGGATTCTATGATTCTCTGATGATATGACAACATCTTTCCTATAGCAGAGAGTGCAGAACTGAATTTATAAATTTATAAAGCTTTCTCAGAGCCTTGTGGAATTATATTACGCACTTATACACCTTATAGTAAATCAGTTTGGCCTTGTTAATCATAGCCTGACAGCTTCTGACATGAGGATGCACACTAAGTGTTGGCTCGCTGGAACTGTAGTCAAATAACATATCAACGGGGCTTATCATGTGCACTCAATCCATTTTTATGCTAACCAAACACTTCTTTAGAAACCGAACAAGGTGTGGTCTTTATTTTTTAAAAAGAAACATCACAGCCACTTTTTCTTGCAAAAATAGCAAGTCAGTTGAAACATTCCTTTTCTATAGCAGGTGGAGAAGCAACACGAGAATACAAGATATTCTCACAAACTACCTTAATAGTGCTGAAAAAAAGACTTCATTTTTTATTTATAATTGGACCTTTAAGCACAGTTCAGTGGTTTCAAAAGTTCTGTATATTAAATAATTAATCATGTTCCAAATTCTTCAAAATTTACAAATAAAGTCCTGAGCAATGTATGAGTTGACATATTTTGGATGAGAGATATTTCAAAATGCTTTCTTTGTTTAAATGGTTTAGAGTTGACCTTTTTTGTACTGAAACATGCTTCACAGTCCCATTAGACAAAATACATTGGCTTGTTATGGGATGGAAAGGTACAGTTTTGGATTAATTCTGCAATCAGTATTGTTAAAAGTAGTTAGAGAAAGATAATTTTTTAAATTGGGAATGTTAGAAACTGACTTGAGCAGGCAATGAAGTCTTGTGCTATTCAGTTTTAGATACGTCGCCAATGCAGTTGGTTTTATTGCAGTTGCATTTAGTTTGACAATTAATTGATGTGGGCAAAATATCTTCTTAGGATCATGAAAGCTGTGACAGCGGTTTTTCCTGATACACTGTATTGTAATTTTTTATTGTGTACTGTAGAATATTGGCATGTTATCAACAAATTAGTTTAAATTTTATGTGAAATCTCAACTGTCCCTACAATAGTTACAGGAATTCTAATAAAATCTGTTCTACAGTACACATTTTCCCATCTAGCTGGTATGATTGAGGTCATTGCCAAATTTATTTGAAATGATTCCTTAAGTTGGACTTTGAACCTATTCTCCTTGCCTTTTATTTTAGATCAGTATATCGCGTTGTGAGGAAAAGGCAGGAAAGTGAAATTGAGAATTATCAAGATCAGCCAGAATCCCATTTAATGGTGGTGCAGACTAGACAGGCTGAATGACCTATGACTATTATCTCATGATTTTACAGAGATTATGGATGGATTTAATGTTGAGAGTGGCCTCCCTATACCCCAGTGTAAATGACTGGATTTTATTATGTAGCATGGCTTAGAGGTTAAATGGCTGCCCCACAGTCACGGCGATTGCCCAACAATAATTCAGAGGCAGAACTTCCAACTCTTCAGGGAAGGAGATTCAGCCTCCGGGAGATGCTGCCCAGTACTCCAGAGACACAGTGCTCCAGAGATCTAGTTTCCAGAGATGCAGTGCTCCAGAGACACAGTGCTCCAGAGATCCAGATATACAGTGTTCCAAAGACCTGGAGACACAGTGCTCTGGAGATCCAGAGATGCAGTGCTCCAGAGCCCCATGATCCTATGATCAGAACAAACCAGGAACACGGTCACTGCAGCAACAAAGCTGGTCAAATCAACACTCCTTGAATTGGCCTCTTGGACTAGTTCCTTCCTTTTTTAACTTCACTCTCTCTCTCAGCTGGTGGTTTGTTCACTCTCAGATGGAATGCCTATGGAAAAATGTCAGGTAGGGTACCTATGAATGCAGTACACATGCACATAAAATGTTGCATGTCATCATGCTGTTCCTGCATTGGAAAGCTGCCTGGAACTCTATCACTCATCACCTTTCAGTTAAGTGGACTCCATTGTCACTCGGAGTTGATGAATGAATATCCAACATCTTAAAATCTCACTGTTTACATTTTACAAGCCACTGGAAGATTGACAGTGAATCTGGTAGACTTCCAGCTTCAGCTATGAGGTTCAGATTAACAAGTTGACAACCGTGAAATGATATCATATCCCCAGAACATTGAGTCAGCAATACACTGACCTGCACCGCTCCTGTACAATAAGTATTGTGATCAGCAGAGGTCAGCTCCAGTTCCAGGCCCAGACCATTCCCACTCAACTCTTCTTCCCCAGGAAGATTATATGGCTTCATGAAGAGTTAATTATGTCAGAAAGGGTTATTAGAATTATCTGAGGAATTAACAAGTAGGACAGATAGAGGGAAAGCAGTAGAAGTAATATATTTGGAATTCCAGAAGGTGTTTGATAAGGTACCACATGTTTGGCTATTTAATATGATAAGAGTCCACGGCATTGGAAATAGTATATTAGCAAGGGTAGAGAATAGGCTAACACAGAGAGCTCGGATAAATGTGGGTATTTTCAGAATGGAAGCTATAAATAGTGTAGTACTGCAGGGATTAGTGCTGGAGCCACATTTATTTACAATATATGTTAATGACTTGGATAAGGAAAGTGAATGTACTATAACAAAGTTTGTCGTACTATAACCAAATGTAGTTTGTGGAATAAAATATGTGGGAAGGCAAGTACTGAGGATGACACAAAAAGTTTACAAAGGGATATAGACAGGTTAAATCAGTGGGCAAAAAACACTGGCAGATTGAAAACAGTGTGAGTTATGTGCTTTTGCTGGAAGAACAGAAGAGCTGAATATAATTTAAATAGAGAAAGATTGCATAAAGCCACAGCACACAGGATCTGGCAATCCAAATGCACAGATCATAAAAAGCTAGTATACAAATTCAGAAGGTAATAGGGAAGGCAAGTGGGAGGTGGAATTTATTTCAAAGAAAACTGAAAATACAAACAGGAAAGTCTTGCTAAAACTATGAAAGGTACTAGTCAGATCAAAGCTGGAATACTGTGTACAATTTTGGGTCCCTTACATAAGAAAAGATACATGAGTAAAGAGGGATTGTTTTATGAGGAGAGGCTTAGTCAATTGGGCTTGTACACTTTAGAGCTTAGAAGAATTAAAGGTTACCTCACTGAAATATATAGGATTCTCATGGAATTTGACAGGAAGTTGCCAGAAGGTTGCTTTCTCTTTTGGGAGATTCTAGGATGAGAGGGTGTAACTTCAGAGTAAGGGATTGCCCATTGAGGAGGAACTTCTGCAGCATTTTAAGGCGTTTTCAACAGCATCTTCCAAACAGTGTCCTTTATGACATGGAAGTACAGATAGCAGGCGCAATGGAACACCATCACATGCAAGTTTCATTCCATATGACACACCATCCTGACACAGAAATATATAATTGCTCCTTCACCATTGCTAATTCAAAATCCTCGATTCCCTTCCCAATCACATTACAGCTTTACCCACACCAATGAACAGCTGCATTTCAACAAGATGACTCACCAGTATCTTCTCAAGGGCAATTTGTAATGGTCAATGTATTCTGATGCCCACATTTTATGAATGAATGAAAATAAACCCTAGACCTCACTGCTAATTACACACCACAGGAAACAATAGCCACATCAAACACTTTCAAATAAGCATTTAGGTTTCATACACAGGTGTACAAAAACTGAGCTTGGAATGATTTGTATTTTCTTCATTTTAAAATTACAATACCAACTATTCAAGTCTCCAGATACCTCTGCCTTGAACTGCTAAACAGCCTGAAACTGAAAGCAGGAAGTACGAATATCTTATGGAGAAGCCAAACATGTTAATTAGGCAGGAAAGTTCTTGGTATGCACTCATCTGTCAGAACGATGTTTCATATCTTTAAAACCTTGCAGAGAATCAGTGTGCAGCAGATAAAACGACAGCATTGGAAGTTTCTGAGATCAAAACAGGTAGCTGCTTTAAATTATTTCCAGTCTTCTCAGTTAAAAAAAAGCAAATGGTATGATATTGAGAAATATAATTTCTTCTTAAAGTTTTTTTGTAGTTATATTTAAATTCTTATTTCATTATTTAGTTTTTTTTATGTAACTAAAATTTCTTGGAACCATGTTCACTGTGGAAGCTGGCTATGTTTGGGCCTGCCTTTTTCTTTGCTGGCCGGTGAAAGCTTGTGATACACTTGATGACCTTATTGGAGCCAAAAGCCAAGGAGACATCAATATTGGTGGAATCTTTCCAATCCATGGAGACGTGGAAAATGTAAACACTCGCAATAAACCAAATGCAGTAAAATGCAAAGTGTAAGTGTTTCATTACTTGTTCTTTTATCTTGTAAAATCATTACAATTTGCATGGAATGAAAAGCTAAACCAACATGGTTTGGAGGTTAAATTTCAAATGATTGTATGTTTCTTTGCTATACACGAAATCTACTCTGGTTAAAAAAAACTGGGTATGAGATATTTTCACTTTATTACTAGATTTCAGAGGTAAATTAGTACAGTACTATTTTTACTTAAAGAAAACTGTTTTCATGTTTATATTTCTATTTTCACAACAAATATCAACTCCAATAGAGTCATAAAGTTTTACAGCATGAAAACAGACCCTTCATTCCAACTTGTCTGCACAACAGGATATCCTAAACCGATTTAGTCCTATTTACCAGCATTTGGCCCATATCCCTCTCAACCTTTCCCATTCATGTTTCCATCCAGATGTCTTTATAAATGTCTTAATTTTACCTGCCTTCACCATTTCCTTAGGCAGCTCATTCTATACATGCACCAACTTCTTTCATGAAAAGTTGCCCCTCAGGTCCCTTTTAAATCTTTCCCCTCTCATCTTAAACCTATGTCCTCTAGTTTTTGACTCCCCTACCCTGGGGAAAAAAACATTTTGACTATTCACACAATCCGTGCCCTTCATGATTTTATACACCTCTATAAGGTCATCCCTCAGCCTACACTGCTTCAGGGAAAAAAGCCCCAGCCTATTCAGCCTCTCCCTACAGCTCAAACTCTCCAATCCAAGCCACATCTTGTAAATCTTTTCTTAACCCTTTCAAGTTTAGCAACATCTTTCCCACAGCAGGGAGGCCAGAATTGAACGCAGTATTCTAAAAGTGGCCTCACCAATGTTCTGTACAGCCGCAACATGATATCCCAATTCCTATACTCAATGCACTGAACAATGTTGGCAAGTGTGCCAAACACCTTCTTCACTGCTCTGCCTACCTTCAACTCCACTTTCAAAAACTATGCACCTGCTCCTCTAGGTCTCTTTGATCAGCAAAGGATCCCAGGGCCCTACAATTAAGTGTCTAAGTCCTGCCCTGATTTGCCTTACCAAAATGCAGCACCTCACATTTATCTAAATTAACCTCCATCTGCCACTCCTCAGCCCATTGGTCCATTTCAACAAGATCCCATTGTACTCTGAAGTAATCTTCTTCACTGTCCACTTACACCACCTATTTTGGTGTTACATGCAAACTTACTAACCATGCCTCAAATATTTACATCCAAGTCATTTATACAAATGATGAAAATGACCCATTACAATTCCTTGCAGCACACCAGTTGTCACACATCTCCAGTCCAAAAAAGAAACCCTTCTCCACCACCCTCTGTCTCCTAGCTTCAAGCCAATTTTGTATCAAATTGGTTAGCTCCTCCTGGATTCCTTGTGATGTAACCTTGCTAACCAATCTACCATGTGGAACCTTGTTGAATGCCTTGCTGAAGTCCATACAGACATTTACCGCTCTGCCTTCATCAATCCTCTTTGTTTCTTCTTCAAAAAATTCAATAAAATTGGTGAGTTCTTGAATATTTATGTCAATGTGCACATTTATACATGTCCTAGCTATTATGACCAGTAATATTTTCTTTCTCTTTCAATGACTTTTGTGCCTTTTGATGCGTTTTCACAAGTACTGGCAAACAGAATTGTAAACAACAAATGCTGGAGATCACAATGGGTCAGACAGCATCCATGGAGAGAGAGCAAGCTAACAGAATATTCCTGTTCCTCTTTGTGGAGTAAATCTATTGTAGATGTGCAGGCTTCTGTCAGTGAAAAATGACAGTGGGTTAGGGTCTTGTTTGAATTCTATGTTAAAACTGTCTAAATCTGTTCAAAAACAGAAGTTACTGGAAAAGCTCAGCAGGTCTGGCAGCACCTGCAAAGAAAAAATCAGAGTTAACATTTCGGGTCCAGTGACCTTTCCTCAGAACTGTACTTCCAGCAGTTCAGTTCTGAAGAAGGGTCACCGGGCCCGAAACGTTAAGTCTGATTTTTTTCTTCTCAGATGCTGCCAAACCTGCTGAGCTTTTCCAGCAACTTCTATGTTTGTTCCTGATTTACAGCATCTGTAGTTTTTTTGGTTTTTATTTTGTCTAAATCTGTTATTGGATTGGTCATCTCACCAGCTAATTCACTTTCACTCACAAAACTAAAATCTGGGTGCTTTTTGAAGAGGTATTGGCAAATAGCCCATTAAAGCTAAATATCGGAGACTTTTTCTTAAAATTACGCAATATTGAAATTTAAAGTACATTCAAAATGGTGTGATACTCTAGTACAGCAAAAGATCTTTGATGGGATTTTCAAAATTTACTTTATTAACTACCACTTACCTCAGCTTTTGATTGATATGTCATGGAGAAAATGGGACCTACATCCACCAAGACACTAGAACAACTGCCTTGTGATGATTTCCAACTCTTCAATCATTGTCTAATATTATTGGTTAATTCTTACAAAGCTCCAATTCAGAAGGTACATGGATCAGAGAATTGTAAGGTGGTCACTTTACCCAATTTTGTGTGCCCATGGTTATTTGATGATTAAAATTAATCACTGGAATATTGGGGTTTGCTTCCAAATGGGCATTCTGACCCATGCATTTGACCTGCACTGCCTTTGAATGAGGCTTCTCCACATGAAGAGAGTTATCTCTGAAATTTACCCCTTCTCATTCAGTAGTTAGAAGCAGACTTGTACTTCCAGCGGCTACAAGATAAGAAGTGGAACTACATAGACCTGATATTTAACTATGGTGTAAATATTTTTGGCTTTCCTAACTGAATAAAAAAAAATCAATTTTGAATGAGATACTTGTGTGGGACTCATTATACTAGTCCTAGATTAATTGAACTTTATTGAGGATACCAGGTTACTTGAATGTGATATATCACCAGTTATTCCCTATTTATTACTGAATCAGTTCATCCCTCTTTTCGTATTTTATTTGAGTCTCTTCCCATATTTCCTCATCAAAGTCTATCATTGCAACCTCCTATTCCCTCTCTCAAAAGTTTGGCTAACTTCTCCTTAAATGCAACTATGCTACTCCCTTCAATGGAATCACTGGGTGAATATTTTGGAATTGCCTTCCGAACAGCATAATGGATGTACCTACACAACTTGGGCCATACTGGTTCAAGAAATCAGCTCAGGATCAAATTCTCAAGACCACTAGGGATGGGCAAAAAATGCTGGCCCAGCTAGTGACTGCCACATCCATGAAAGAAAACCTAAAAGTAAAACCCTTTGAAGCAAGTTCCACCCTTTAGGTAAATAAGCTTCTTTTGAATTCCCTTTTGTAATTCTTGATGACTACCTTATATAGATAGCGTTCAGTTATGCTTTTCTCTCCAAGAGGAAACATTCTCTCTGTTTCAGCTCTATTAAAATCTTTCATAATTGTAAAGGCTTCTATTCAGTTACCTATAAACCTTTGTTTTACAGAGAAAAAAGACCCAAACTGTTCATTAATCCTGATTTACCCATGCATTTCTGTTAACATCCTTGAAAATTTTTTGTGCACTCTTTCCAGTGCCTCTATATCCTTTTGTAATATGGTTACAGGCAATATTCTAACACCTATTCTATCAAGTTCCAAGCGGTTTACGTCAAACTTCCCTACTTTTCAATTCTATCCTGCTAGAATAAGCCTAGTGCTTGGCTTCCCTTTCTACACCTTTGGTAACCTGCAGGTTACTGGTTTATTTTACTCCAAGATTCTTTATTCCTCTACAGTCAGACCTGCCAAGTAATAAGCAAGCTTGCTATTCTTCGATCAAAATGTCTTCAAGTACTTCATATTTATCTCTGTTGAATTTTATTTGCCATTTATTTGTCTATTCTGCAAGTTTATAATGTTCTCCTCTAATATGTTGCAGTGCTCCTTTGTATTGACTACCCCCAATCTGGTGTCATCCACAAATTTGTAATTCAAAGACCAAATCATTAATGTAAATTGTGAACATTGGAGGCTCCGTTACTAAACATTGTGGAACCATACTTTCTGGCACGCTACAAAGTGTAATCGCAGAAAGTATAACACTTTTCCATTCACCCTTTCCCTTCTCAGCATCCAAGGCCCCAAACAAACTTCCTAGGCGAAGCAGAGTTTTACTTGTTCTTCTTTCAATCTATTACACTGTATTCACCACTTACAATGCAGTCTGCTTTACCTGGGTGAGACCAAATGCAGACTGAATAACCCCTTTGTGGAACACTTCCACTCTGTCTGGAGGAAAGACCCTGACCTGCCAATTGCTTGCTATTTCAATAAACCATCCTGGTCTCATACTAACATTTCTGTTCTAGCCTGTTACACTGTTCCAATGAAGCGCAATGTAAGCTCAAAGCACACCACCTTATTTTCCACTTAAGCACTTTACAGTGTCCAAGTCTCAATATTGAATTCCACAACTTCAGAGTCTGACCTCACGCCATCTGTTATGGTGGCTCAGTGGTTAGCACTGCTGCTGCCCAGCACCAGGGACCTGGGTTCAATTCCACCTTCAGGTGACTGTCTGTGTAGAGTTTGCACATTCTGCCTGGGTTTCCTCCCACAGTACAAAGATGTGCAGGTTAGGTGGAGTGGCTGTGCTAAATTACCCATAGTGTTCAGGGATGTGGAGTATAGGGCAATGGGTTTGGGTTGGATGCTGTGAGGGTCAGTGTGGACTTGTTGGGCTGAAAGGCCTGTTTTCACACTGTAGGGATTCTATAACATTCACTGGTTTTCTTACATTCTGTCCTTCCACTCCCACAGCCTTGTCCAGTTTGTGTCTTCTTTACTTTGCTCTCTGTAGAGACTATTCTCATCTTTTCACACTTTAATTAACACCCATATTTGCTTGGGCCTCCTCACTATCTGTTCCCTTTATCCCTCCTCCACCTCTGTCAAAAGAAATGAAAATACCATTTTCTGGTTCAAACAAAGTCATATTGGACTCAAAATCTTAGCTCTGTTTCTCGCTCGACAAATGCTGTCAGACTTGTTGAGTTTCTGTATCATTTTCTGAGTTTATTTCAGATTTCTAGCATCTGCGGTATTTTGCTTTTATTCGACAGGATAGATGCAAGCATGGTGTTTCCACTGGTTGGGAAATTTCGAACCAGAGGGCACAATTTATAAATTTGAGAGGATCAAGATGAGGAGAAATAGGCATCATTTTCCTTCAGAGTGTTGTGAATCTTTGGCATTCTCTAATCCAGAGAGCTATGGAAGCTCTTTCGGTATGTTTAATGTAGAGGGTGATAAATGCTTGATACTAATGGCGTAAAGGGTTTGGGAATAGTATGGATAAAAGCCATCAAAGTGTTCAATTAGCCATGATTGTACTAAATGACAGAGCAGGCTCAATGCAATGAATGGTCAGCTCCTGTTCCTATGTTCCTAATACTCTCCCTCTCATAGGCAAAAAACAAAAATTGATGAAAACCTCAGCAGGTCTGGCAGCATCTGTGGAGAGAGAAACAGAGTTAACATTTTGGGTCCAGTGACCCTTCTTCAGAAATCTCACTCTTGTATGACTTTCCCCCATCCGTGCCTTGGATTTGTCTGCAATCACATCTCTTATGAAAAAAACACAGCTGTCGTGTCCATGTGCCCTTTGTCACAAGTTACACGCCTGAAAAACATTGTTATTGACATTAACAATTGACTATTAATCTAGATGGACATTGTCACAGTTTAGCCTTTTTTTTCAAAAGCTCAAATATTATTTTTCACAGAATCCCTACAGTGTGGAAACAGGCCCTTTGGCCCAACAAGTCCACACCAAACCTCAGAGCAGCCCACCCAGAGCCATCACTCTAATCTACACCTCCCTGAGCACTACAGGCAATTTAGCATGGCCAATCTGCCTAGCCTACACATCTTTGGACTGTGGGAGGAAACCAGAGCACCCAGAGACAGGGAAAATGTGCAAAACTCCACACAAACAGTCACCTGAGGCTGGAATTGAACCCAGGTCCCTAGTGCTGTGAGGCAGCAGCACTAACCATTGTGCCACCATGCCACCCACATGCACTTTTGTATATTGAAGTATCATGGAGTCAATATGATGATGTTTAAATATTAACCTTTTTAATGTTTAACTGAAAAGTATTTCTTCTTTTAAAGATTTGACTCTCAGAGATTTATCTGGCTCCAGTCTATGATACACACTATTGAAATGATTAACAACTCTACCCTACTACCGGGTATTAAACTTGGATATGAGATACATGATTCCTGTACAGATGCCACCAGAGCTGTGAAGGCTGCAATGAGATTTCTTTCCAAGACAAATAGCTCAGAAAATTGTCTGGAGGTTCGATGCAATTACACAGATTACCAGCCAATTGTAAAAGCTGTTATAGGAGAAGTTTATTCTGAGTTGTCGATTCCTATCGCAAGAATATTTAATGTAGCACTTATGCCTCAGGTAGGTAAAGCATTACTCTTGTACAATACTTTTCCCATAAGGATCTTTGTATTTCTCTTCACAGGTATCATTAAGTATTTGCAACATAGACAAAAGGTCATTCGCTGCAAGACACCCACGTTGGTGTTTATGTTCAACATAAGCTGCTCCCACTCTTGTTCATTGAACTCCATCAACGTATCCTTCCCATTCCCTGCCCCCCATGTGTTTGTCTATGTTCCCCTTGAGTGCACCAGTGCTATTCACTTCAACAGCGCGTTCCATGTACGCATACGTTCTGGACAATGTAGGTTCTCCTTAGTACCTATTGTCTTTATTCATGACTACATTATATTTATGGTCCTAGTTGTGGTTTTGCTTTCAAGTCATCACCCTCAAAGTCACTTGTTGCCCTGCTCTGAGACTGCAGATCTCCCTATAAGAGGTGGCAGATTTCAGTGACCATCTGTTTAGTGGCTCAGAGTCACCTCATACACTGTTCCTAGTTTAGGTTGAGATTAGAGAAATGCCTCCTGGAGGCCCTGGGTGAATATGACTTCCTGATAAGAACCTTTCGGCCCCTCCTCTTGCCATATTTTTGAGCATTTTTTTTCATCCTTGGTGTTACCACTGCACAATCTTTATGTCATGCTGCCAGAACGAGAAGGGGACAGAAACTGCAGCACCCTTGAAGTGAGAACTAAGCTCATCACCACACGCCTTGCTATTTCTTAGAGGTATCAACAGCAGTAGTACAAGTACTTCTTCTAACTGAGCACCAGTCAGTAGAATCAGCCACTAAGCTGAAAATAGTTGATAATGCCTCTTGATAGAGGGTACTTATACCTGTAATTGCCAGTTCGTCCGCGGCTGCACTGGCACTATCCCCCATCTCTTCCTCCGCTACATCAATTGCTCCTATGAGGAGCTCGAATAGTTCATCCACTTTACTAACACCTTCCATCCCAACCTCAAGTTTACCTGGACCATCTCTGATACCTCTCTCTCCTTCCTGGACCTCTCTGTCTCCACCTCTGGTGACCACCTCAAAACCAACATCTGTTTCAAGCCCGCTGACTCCCACAACTGCCTAGACTACACCTCTTCTCACCCACCTTCCTGCAAGAATATGATCCCCTACTCCCAATTCTGCCACCTCCACCGTATCTGCTCCCAAGATGAGGCATTCCACTCCCAAACATCCCAGATGCCCTCATATTTCAAGGACCGCAACTTCCCCCACTCAGCAGTCGAAAAAACCCTCGGCTGCATCTCTTGAGTTTCCCACACCTCTGCCCTCACACCCCCTCCCCGCAATAAAAATAAAGACAGAATTCCCCTTGTCATCACGTATCACCCCATTAACCTCTGGATTCAACGCATCATCCTCCGCCACTTCCGCCACCTGCAATCTGACCCTACTACCAAGGATATATTTCCCTCCCCACCCTTATCTGCTTCTAGAGGGACCGCTCTCTCTGCGACTCCCTCGTCTGCTCCACACTCCCCACCAGCCCCACCACACCCGACACTTTTCCCTGCAACCGCAGGAAGTGCTACACCTGCCCCTACACCACCCCCGTCACCTCCATCCCAGGCCCCAAAAAAACCTTCCACATCAAACAGGTGTTCACCTGCACATCCGCTAATGTGGTACATTGTATCCACTGTTCCCGATGTGGCCTCCCCTACATCGGGGAAACCAAGTGGAGGCTTGGAGACCGCTTTGTGGAGCACCTACGCTTGGTTCGTGACAAACGACAACACCTCCCAGTCGCGAACCACTTCAAATCCCCCTCCCACTCCCTGGTGACAAGTCCATCCTGGGCCTCCTCCAGTGTCACAATGATGCCACCCGGAAACTGGAGGAACAGCACCTCATATTCCGCCTTGGAAGCCTACAACCCAATGGTTTCAATGTGGATTTTACTAGCTTCAAAATCTCCGCAACCCTGGCCTCATCCCAAGACCAGCTCCCCGCCCCATTCCCCACCTCATTGATCTGTCCGTCTTCCGTCCCACCTATTGGCTCCTCCCACCTCACTGACCAAACCCCACCACTACCTACCTACACTCACCTTTACTAGCGTCACGCCCGCCTCTTTGACCTGTCCGTCTTCTCTCCCACTGTATCCGCTCCGCTACCTACCTGCTATCACCAACCCCCCCTATTTATTTCAGAGCTCCCTTCCCCTCCCCCATTTCTGAAGAAGGGTCCCGACCCGAAACGTCAGCTTTCCTGCTCCTCCAATGCTGCCTGGCCTGCTGTGTTCCTCTAGCTCTGTGTTAACTTAGACTCCAGCATCAGCAGTTCTCACTATCTCTAACTGTCTACAGCTAGTTTGAAGAGCAATTTTTATGCAAATTCCTGCAAGTGTCTACAAAAAGATAATGAGGATGATTGGTGTGAGATGCTTCCTGTGCTATAAGGAAACAACAAGTGATATAACTTGAAAATAAGTTATAAAGATTCACAAGTCATGCCATGTGTCTTATTCATCCAAATCTGCTGTGGGTTTGCATATCAACAGTGGTATGACAAACTTTAACAATCATTATTTTGATCACACTTAAATACTATCTCATATCTCATCAAATCTATTATAAGGTGAAATACACAATTTTTCTATCCCACTCTTGAAGAAACTACCCAATTCTTTTTTCAGTATTTAGATTGTTACCTCCCAAAAGAATTCTAAGAACTTTGTCAGGCATCATTTCCTCTTCATGAGACTGCAGTGGTTCTGCTTGATCATATTACCCATTTCTTAATGCTCTGCTATTATATTCTTAATAATAGACTCCAACATTTTCTTAATGAGAGACATCAAACTAATTTGGACTACAGTTGCATGCTTTCTATGTCCCTCCCTTTCGAAAAAGAATATTACATTGGCAGTTTTCCATTCCTTTTGGACTTCTCCAGAATCTAAGAATTCTTGAAAGAAAATATAAGTGTATCTCTGTTGCTGCTTCTTGGGATGCAAGTCATCAGGTCCAGGGGATTTATTGGCCTTTAACTGCATTAGATTCCCTAGTAACCTTTCCTTTAGAATCGAATAGAATAGAATACAAAAGTACAGGAGTGCAATGAAAAGTTTTGCAATGTCACCTCTTATGGCACCATCTTAGGTATAAGTGCCTATGTACAAATCTTAGATACAAAAGAGGAATAAAAAAGAAAATCAGTTTCATTACTTTACATTGTTTAAAGAATAAATTAGAAATAAGACAGAGTTAAAGGATTGGCATTACATCAGATAAACAAATTACAAGTTCACATTACATTGCAGTAGCTCAGCACAGGGGCTTCCACATGTGGTCTGACCGCCCACGCCAGACCCCAGTCCAACAACCATCCCCGCTCTGCTCCAAGCTTCAAGGTTTCCTCTCAGACTCGCTTCCCCGCTCCAGCCTCTGCCTGGGACTCGCTCCCCGCTCCGGCCTCTGCCTGGGACTCGCTCCCCGCTCCAGCCTCTGCCTGGAACATGCTCCCTGCTCCGGCCTCTGCCTGGGACATGCTTCCCGCTCCGGCCTCTGCCTGGGACTCGCTCCCCACTCCGGTCTCTGCCTGGGACTCGCTCCCCGCTCCAGCCTCCGCCTGGGCCATGCTCCCCGTGCCAGCCTCCGCCTGGGACATGCTTCCCGCTCCGGGCTCTGCCTGGGACATGCTTCCCGCTCCAGCCTCTGCCTGGGACATGCTCCGCGCTCCGGCCTCTGCTTGGGACTCGCTGCCTGCTCCGGCCTCTGACTGGGACTCGCTCCCTGCTCCGGCCTCTGCCTGGGCCTCGCTCCCTGTGCCGGCCTCTGGCTGGGATTCGCTCCCCATGCCAGACACTGCTCCGGGACTGCTTCCCCTGTGCTGGCTGCTGATCCAGCATGGAAGGATTTAATTATGTGGAAAGTTGAGTAGAATGGGCCTGTACCCATTTGAGTTTAGAAGAATGAAAGGCAATTGAAAAATACTCAACTATATAAGATTTGGGGGCTTGACAGGGTATATGTGGAGAGATTATTTCGCCTTCTGAGAGAGTCTCAGTATACAGCATAATCTCAGAATTAGGGGCCACCCAATTAAGACAGTGGTGAATCTGTGGAATTCTTTACCATACAGACCAATCAAGGTCGGGTCATTAATAATGCTCAAGGCTAAAACAAGCAGATTTTTAATCCACGGATATGGGGAAAAGACAGGAAAGTGAAATTGGGGATTATCAGATCAGCCATGAAATCGCTGGATAGCAGAGCAGACACGATGGATCAACTGACCTACTTCTGTTGTGACATCTCATGGTTTCACGGTAAATAGAGTACTAGAAGAATAGGATCATTCCTACACACAGATTGAGAGTTTTCCCACCTGCAACCGGATCTTACTTTCTGGATGACATGCAGGTGCCATTCTGTTAAAATCTTCACCTGATGCTAAGTAATCTCTGATTGTCAAAGGATCGCCAAAACTGAAAAAGTTTAATATATGTTTTATGAAATACGATTATAACAAATATAGAACTAAAGTGAGATTATGAGAGAAAAAAAGCAGAAATTAATGAAAAAGATATTGAGAGTTGGTTATGCCTAGCCCAGTCCAAAAAAAAGGGTTACAGAAACATTTGTGATTGTAGCCATGACTCTGCATGACCAAGGCCAGATTTCTTGATATTAGCTATTCCTGCTAGGTCCGTGGATGATTCCTGAAAGTAAACAGGAGTCCACATGTAGGCGAAGGAAACTCCAGCCATGTTTATAACAGGAAATTTAGGGAGAAACCACTTCCATTCAAAGTCTGATGTGATCTCAGAAAAGTTCTTGTCCCGCATATGTTTAACATAACCTTTTTTGAAATCTTTCCTTTATTCTGTTTTACAGATAAGTTTCGCATCATCTGCTGCAATCCTTAGTGACAAGTTGAGATTTATGTCATTTTTACGCACTGTTCCAAGTGACATCCATCAGACAAAGGCCTTGGCTGAATTTATTAGCAACTCTCATTGGAATTGGATTGGGGTCATTGCAACAGATGATGACTATGGCAAATCTGCAATGACTGATTTCATTTCAAATGCACAACAGCTCGACATTTGTATTGCTTTTCAGGAACTGATTTCAACATTTGTTGGTAGCAGACAGCATGATGAGGCAATACAGGCCTTGGTTTCAAAAACTGAAGCTGTTCCTAATGTGAATGTTCTTGTTCTCTTTGCTAAATCACAAGTTGTCACCAAAGTGCTGAAGGAAATAGTTTGGCGTAATATTACTAAAACATGGATTGCCAGTGATGCCTGGGCCGTATCCAGAACTGTTGCGTCGATGCCAAATATTGAAAAAGTTGGAAACATATTTGGGTTGACTTTCAAGATGGGACAAATTCCAGGCTTTCCAGAACACTTAAGGAACCTAAAGGCAGGACCTGGGGCTGTTAACAAGTTCATTGAAGAATACAGGCAACTTCGTTTTACATGTTCAGAGGAGTCCCACAATGTCACAATGACAAGCAATTCAAGCTCAGAAAACTATTCCCTTTCAGGTTCTTTGAAACAAGTATCTCTTCATACTTGTACCAAAATAAATGAATTTATTGAAAATTTTAATGACGATTATTTGGTTCAAAATATTGAGCAAAGTGGCACATATGCAACATACCTTGCAGTCCAATCAATAGCTCATGCTCTGAGGAACCTTCTCAAATGTCATGAAGGAACATGCCAAAAAAATTTCAATTTTGCACCATGGCAGGTAGATATTTTACACTAATATTACTTACTTTCAGGAAATTATCCTTATAAAGTAATTGGCAAATGTCACCGTAACTATATAGCAGAGCAAGGATTGAGCTGGCGTACATATCCTGATATCAGGTTCACTTTTGTACCATTACATGGGTGAATGACAACACTGAAATCTGTTATTCTTTCCTACTGTAACTCCTGGACACACGGTATTTGATTAATGTTTAAAGGCTCATCAATGCCAATTAGAAAGGCAATGGCTTTTGAAAAAAGACATCGTCCAAAAAAATACTGCTAATTCTTAAGCAGACATTATCTAAATTTAGAAAGAATGCTTTGCTGCTTCTTGCCAAATTTTTAAGTCAGCTAATCAACCTGTGAAGAAACTTGTAATGTGTCTTACATTAAAAGCATTTTATAAATGCAAGTATTGCTTACTACATAGTATATAAGTGAAAAAAAGCTCTGAAAATTGCTACATTTATTGGCTTCATGTAAAATAGCTTTTCTTCAGCCAGTATGCATCGATACCTTTTAAACATAGAAATGTGATCTGTGTTGCCATAGGGATTCCATGTACGCTTCATAACTGAAAAATAGAAATTATATAGTTGGAAGTAACTAATTCTCTTATCAACAGAATATGGGATTCATTTTTACTGTAGGCTTCAACACAAGCTAGGTGGCTCAGTGGTCAGCACTGCTGCCTCACAGCACTAGGGGCTTGGATTCAATCCCACCCTTGGGCAACTGTCTGTGTGGAGTTTGCACATTCTCCCTGTGTCTGTGTGGGTTTCCTCCGAGTGCTCCGATTTCCTCCTACAGTTCAAAGATGTGCAGGCTAGATGGATTGGCCATGCTAAATTGCCCGTAGTGTTCAAGGATGTGTGGATTAGGTGGGTTTGGGGAATGGGTCTGAGGGTTGGTGTGGGCTTGTTGGGCTGAAAGGTCTTTTTCCGCACTGTAGGCATTCTATGGACTAAAAATGAGTCCTGTAGTAAAATATAGTTGTAACTGATCTCTGAATTTCCAATCTTGCCTAATGAAATGATATACTAATTATTGACCCCTTTTTTGGTAGCTACTTGAAGTACTGAGAGAAGTGAATTTCACTGAAGGGGGGAAACCATTTTACTTTGACAAATCTGGAGATTCTGTAAATGGATACAACTTGATAAAGTGGATTGTGGACAAAGGCACAATACAGTTTAAAACAGTTGGAGAGTATAATGTTCTGGATAGAAAAATCTACATTTATGACAAGGCCATCAGAAACATTACAGAGGTATGGATTTATTTTTTCTTGATGTGCTCAAGATTTCCTCTGTACCAATAAATATCGTCAGTTTTAATAAAATCGGTTGGTTATTGTACAATGCAGGTACTTAAAGTACAAGAAATTATAAGTGTCCTTTCACCTTGTTATACCATGACTTATGCTGAAATGCAAAGTAGTCAAGCAGCATTTGGCTCAGATGTTCCAACCATGGTCAGAACCCAATTGCTCACTTACCTTTGGATATCTTCTGTGCTTGAAACTCTTGGACCTTGTTATGAACCTGTCAGAAACCCACAAACCCAGCAGTGAAGAAAATCTTTGTTGAAATCACATCCACTTTTGCAACAGTTAGTGATTTAATTGTCCAACAGAGAATTGAGAAACGTTGACAATTCCTTTGAAAAGCTAAGTGTGTTATTGGAGGGGGAAGGGCTGTAGGTTTAAGCTGCCCAGTCAGTAAATTCAGTAGCTCCATCATGTGATAACAAGGTGTAGAGCTGGATGAACACAGCAGGGCAAGCAGCATCAGAGGAACAGGAAGGCTGACGTTTCGGGCCTAGACCCTTCATCAGAAATGGGGAAGGGGAAGGGGGTTCTGAAATAAACAGGGAGAGAGGGGGAGGTGGATAGAAGATGGATAGAGGAGAAGATAGGTGGAGAGGAGACAGACAGGTCAAAGAGGCGGGGATGGAGCCAGTAAAGGTGGGTGTAGGTGGGGAGGTAGGGAGGAGATAGGTCAGTCCAGGGAGGACGGACAGGTCAAGGGGGCGGGATGAGGTTAGTAGGTAGGAGATGGGGGTGCGGGTTGAGGTGGGAGGAGGAGATAGGTGGGAGGAAGGACAGGTTAGGGAGGCGGGGACGAGCTGGCTGGTTTAGGGATGCGGTAGGGGGAGGGGAGATTTTGAAGCTTGTGAAGTCCACATTGGTACCATTGGGCTGCAGGGTTCCCAAGCGGAATATGAGTTGCTGTTCCTGCAACCTTTGGGTAGCATCGTTGTGGCACTGCAGGAGGCCCAGGAATGTCGTCTGAGAAATGGGAGGGGGAGTTGAAATGGTTCGCCACTGGGAGGTGCAGTTGTTTAGTGCAAACCGAGCGTAGGTTCTCCTCTCCACCTATCTTCTCTTCTATCCATCTTCTATCAGCCTCCCCCTCCCTCTCTCCCTATTTATTTCAGAACCCCCTTCCCCTCCCCCATTCCTGAAGAAGGGTCTAGGCCCGAAACGTCAGCTTTCCTGCTCCATTGATGCTGCTTGGCCTGCTATATTCATCCAGCTCTACACCTTGTTATCACAGATTCTCCAGCATCTGCAGTTCCTACTATCTCTGCTCCATCATGTGGCTGTGTTGCCAGGGGAGGAATGAAGGCTTAGGATTGCCTGATCATCAGAGGTCCCAGGTACAAAGGCGGGAGGATTGTGTCAAATCCAGAGGTGGAAAGTTCATGAGTAAGGCTATTGGGTGTCGTGTCATTTCTGTTGTTGAGGTATTAGATCTGATAGGTGGAAGGAGCCTTCGGACTGACAGTTTTGGGAGGGGGAGGGGTTATGTTTCTATAAGGATGAGGCCTAGAGAGTGGAAGGTCAGTCTGTGATCATGGTTTGTCAGATCCAGCCTGCTGGAGGGAATGTTGGGCCAGAATCCTGTTGGGGATGAGGAATAATGGGTCCTGGTGGTGGGGCTGGAACTGGATGTTGATGGTCAGGTCAGTGTAGGGGGAGGGTGGTTTAGGTCCATTGAGGTGGGGAATGGGCATCTGGTCAGGAATGGTTGTCAGGGATCCAGTCCATGTCCGGTTGTCGGGGGTGGGGGGGTGGTGGTGGAAGTCAGAGTAGATTTGTGACCCTCTAACTACTCCTGAGTAAATATTGAACTTGACTGAGTTAGACTCTCATTGGGTTCCAGACACAGGGAGATTTTATCAGAAAAGTCAATTTACCGATCAATTCCCAGCTGGATCGGAGATTCTGTATGATCCTGATGTGCAATTCCAGTCCATGCTGCTCCCATGACTCCCCACCCACTGGAGTATACTACAGCAATGCAAATCATCAGGTTTTACCTTCAAACTCAAACTACTATCGTGCTAACGTCCTAATGATGTGAGTTATCAGTCCACCGAGCAAAGCAACCCACGGTCATTTACTCACACAGATTGATAAATAGCATAGAAATTTGGGTGTCATGTAGGAACTGCTCTCTGTTAGAAAAATGACTCAGACCAGGAGAGAGTAAACCTGCATAGGAGGGGGACACTGCTCTTTCTTGTCTTAAATGAAAATTAAGAGTAGCTTCCCAGAAAAGAAAGGACATAACATTTTCATGAGGCCATACCATATCCTCCCCAGATGCAAACAATGAATCATTTTCAAGTGCAATCACTGTTGGTGCTGTATAGGCAAATACAGACAATTTTGCACTGAGCAAGCACCTACAAATGGCAATGAGGTAATAACCAAATTATCAGGATTTGAAGTTGATTGCATGAGGAATGTTGATCAATACAGCAGGAGAACCCACTGCTTTTTGTTGAATAATATAATTAGATATTTTTGCATCCTCCAGATCAGACAGGGTGATCTTTGCTTAGTACTTTATTTAAAGGAAATCACTTTTCACAATCCAGCATTTCATTATTACCACAGTGATTTGTCAGTTTATATTGCAGTTGTATTATCTTGAAACACAACCTTCTGACTTTAGGGCAAAATAAACATGAAACTTAAGGGACAAGTAATGCAGGAAGTTGTCCCTCCTACGCGCGGTTTGTTTATTTTGCCTCAGTGCCGACTTGTTAAACTAACTTAAGGAATTGCAGCTGCTAACATCACACAAGATTGAAATTGAACCTCAATCCTAGCTGTGATCATATTGCCTAAATATGAGTTGCAAATTTGAACTTATTACTCTGGTTGCAAACGTGTACAGGAATGTGAAAAAAACTTCAAACAAAAGGGCAAAATTTGTGATTGTTTATAAAGTTACCATGTAACAACACTATGTAAATTTAACCACTGCATTCGCTGTGAATGCTTGATAAGATGAATTTCTAAAGAGATATGACTGGAAGGAATACTCCTAACATCGCAATAAACAAAATAAAATTTGCCCATAGTGCAGTTTCTAAAAAAGGTGATCTCGATGATTGTTGAAGAGATAAATAACTTTTGAAATCCGCCAACATCACATGAAGGTAATGACAGTCTGGAAGAATCAGCTTATAATTATATTTCCATAGGCTGTATTTTCTAACTGCTCAGTATCCTGCAAACCTGGACAAAGGAAGATCGTGAATTCCTCACAGACCTGTTGCTATGATTGCGTACCTTGTGCAGAGGGATACTACTCTGTAGGTTGGGGTAAGTGCTGTGTTTTGTCACGTGATGCTCTCAAATTGTTATCAAACCGATCTCAGGAGTTACAAAGATTTAGTTTTGAACAAAAACTGCATATCCGATTTTATTTGCTCTAATCTCATTTTCCTGTTCTTTGAGATACACCTTTTCAAGTGTTTATCTAATTTCCTATTAAACGTTGGCTACATTGTAATTGTCATTTGTGTAATGCACTTCATATACTAAGAGCCACTTATGTGAAAATTTCTTCCGAATGCTATCTTTATGTTTTGTTAGTAGATTGTAATTAATGCTTTATTGTTCCAAATTCATCAAACTTAGTAAAATCTTAGGAGTTCAAACCACTTAGATTTAAAAATATCAAGTGCTGTACATAAGTCTAGTGTGAATTTTCAGTTTGACAGATCAGTAGAATGGAGGGGGAAAGGTATTGATTAAATCTGTATAAAATGTGATTTAGAACTTCTTAACAATATAATCAATATGTGAAATCATCTGCAAAGCGTGTTAATGGAACAAGGACAGGCAATTCCCGGGTTGCGAACATGTTCCGTTCCTGAGTCCATTTGCAAGTCAGAACACAATGCAGGACAATACAAAGATAGTAGGAATTGCCGAAGGGTCTAGACCCGAAACGTCAGCTTTCCTGCTCCTCTGGTGCTGCTTGGCCTGCTGTGTTCATCCAGCTCTACACCTTGTTATCGCAGGTCAATACAAAGTAGCTGTTTGTAAGGACAGGGAATGACTTTAAAATTACACCGTTGTATGGAATTGCGTTCATAAATCCGAGCGTTCACACGTCAGACCTTCATAGACGCAGCGACCCACTGTATTCGCAGTGCAGATTATTTGTTGGAGGAGTTATGCGCGCATTTATTTAGTAATCTTGGGAGAGTAATGCCATTATTTGTACAGAATATAGAGATCGTTTATAAAACAATACAAAATGTGAAAGCAATTAAGACTATTTTCTGCAAATATTATAATTTCATCTGTATTGTTATATTAATTTGATTGCTCTGGATGTCTAACAAAAGATATTTTATTTCATTACAGATATGAACAACTGTTTGAAATGCTCAATCGACCAGTGGTCTGAAGCAGAAAGTTCAGTGTGCTTTAACAGAACCACGCAATTCTTTAAATGGAATGATGGATTTGCGATTGTCCTGGTAGTTTTTGCTTGTTTGGGTGTTATTTTAATATTTGCAATTGTTGTAATGGTTTCGCTGAATTTGAATACGCCCCCAATTAAGTCTATTGGAGGTATGTTCTGTTATGTAATACTCTTCTCGTTGATCCTTAGTTTTGTCAGTACTGTTTTTTTTATTGGTGAACCAACAAGTTATGGCTGCTACATTAGACAGCCCCTGTTTGGCATAAGCTTTACTATTTGTGTTTCTTGGATTTTGATCAAATCTTTCAAGATCGTTCTCGCATTTAAGTTTGATCCCGTTGATCGTCAAAAAATGATGCGATTATATAAACCCATACCAATTCTGCTGACCTGTAATGTAATTCAGGTAATTATTTGTACACTGTGGTTGACACTTAAAGGACCCCGCTTTGTAAAAAGTTATGACATTCCTAAAATTATTGTACTTAAATGTGAAGAAGGCTCCAATGTGGCATTTGGCGTAATGTTAGGATATATAGCTGTACTTGCAATTTTTTGTTTCCTACTCGCATTTATGGGCAGGAAGGTACCAGATATCTACAAGGAGGCCAAATTTATCACATTCAGCATGCTCATTTACTTAATTGTATGGATTTCCTTTGTTCCTGTGTATAGTAACACTGACGCTCAATATCTCCCGGCAATTGAAGTAGTGGCAATCTTAGCATCAAACTATGGCATTTTATGTTGCCATTTCTTGCCAAAGTGCTACATTGTTTATTTCAGGAAAAATGCAAATACAGCTGCTGGAGTCATGCAGCGTGTGAGTACATATCATCGAAATGCAGCTAATCACGTGCAAAGTTCAGCCTTGGGTGAATCATTGTGGACTTTAAATTCACACGAACCTCCTGCGCAAAAAGACGCAGAAACAGAAGCAGGCCATTCGGCACATTGAGTCTGCTCATTAACAGTGATCGCAGCCAGGAGGATTCAGGCCTATATAGGAATATTCCCCTGTCGTCTGTCAATCCCTCACTTTAATGACTTAGCCATGACTACACTTCACCTGGCCCCAAGAGCATGAACAAAATCCAGCTTGCATGGAATCATAGGTGGGAAGTCAGGAGAAGTTGATAATGTTGAGAACGCCACCTTTTTTTGAGATTTTGATTTAAATTACACTTGGGCAAGAAATTTTTAGATTAGAAAGTAGCAAAGTTTACTGTTAAGTCTGTGAAATGAAACACTGAAGCTGAGATGCAAAGTACAAACCTGCTGATAAACTGATGAGGGACATGTGGCAGAATTCCCCAGTGAGTGACCGGGTCAGGGATTTTATCAGACCTGGAGAGCCAGGAAGTTTCTTAAAATGGTGGCAAAAGGCACCAAGATGGAAGCCCAACAATTGTCTGCAGCCAGGGAATATATTCAGAAGCAGAAATAGCAGCAACTTAGATATTGGCCAACTGGAGATGGGTGACCAATGAATTGCCACTTTATGGTCATCCATTGGGCCCCAATCATGTTAGGAGATGGCTAGAAACATTGAATTGGTCTCTCAGTCGCTTCCTGCCCGAAAGGGTCAACACCATAATTTCCAGGTTTTCCCTTCTGGAGGAAGGGGATTCAAAAGGGTTTTTCCTTTCATGGCCCACAAAGGGATCCATCAGCAACAGTAGTTGCCCCTACTGCTGCAACCTTCCTGCATGTTACCTCAATATGGAAGTGCTCAACTTCACCAGTAGCACTGCTCAGCTTGCAAAGCTATTTATCCTCTGATCGGACCAGCAGCGTGAACAGCCAAGCTGCCTTTGCCAATTGGATGGTGGTCTCAGTGATGGTCTCTTAATTTGTAGAATAGCCTCCAGGGTCCTAATGCATGCCTGCATAGACTAGGGACAGACATTTAGGCCTGATGTCAGGACCCAGACCATGCTGGTTAAATTCTCAGCTGAAAAGGTCTGAATTGGGCCAAATTATAAAATCATACAATGATTAGAATTTCTTCAGTTATATCCTTCACTGGATGGGGTTCACTAAGTACCTCGTAGTGGAGAACGCCATGAAGTAAGACTTCTTAAGAGTTCTGCAAGAACTCCATTTTAAATAGACAGGTCATATTTTCTTAAGAGATTATTTTCAATTGGCTGATGCAAAAGAAATGTCCAAGAATGCTTACACTATATCTAACAGTTAGAAATGGGAGGTGTAATGCAGTTATCAAGCTCAATACAACTCAATTGACATTGCTTGGCTCTTACATGGTTAGAGGTTTTAGGTTTTCTGTTTTGAAGAAGTTGAGATTAACTGGATACAAATTTGCACACCACTGCACCTAAAATTAAAAAAAAAGTTATCATTTTGGAATTGGTGAACCCTGTTCTCTAAACAAGAATTGCAAATTGACAAGGAAAATGTGGGTGGACAGGACATCTAATATACCTCCTGTACATCTTGTCAATTACCAAAGCAAGTCAACTAGACCCTGAAAACAGAAAAGAAAGTAAATCTGTTCTATCTACATGATACCATTTGTGGTCTGAAACCTAATACATCACACTGTAACTGCAAGAAATTCCATAATGGAAAGGCAACTAAAAAATCTCAATAGATTCCAATGCAATGCAATCTTATGAAATCACTATGTGACTGTGAAAAATGTAAAATTTTACTTGGCTCTGTCGGACGATGAATTTCGTCCGGGATAATTAATATAAATTACATTATCGTATTAAGAGATTAGTAAGCAATTATATTTATCAAGTGTGTAGGATCTTAGCATTTTTTGGGTTCCCTTTTGCCTTGGTACAGAATTTCTCTAAATTGTCCTTGTCCTCCAGAGTCAGTTGCATCAATACAACATCTGCACCTAAAAGATTCCGTTAGTTGCAATCTAAAATAGTCACTTCAGGGTGATAACGTCTAGTAAGTGCATGCGCTTCATACCACCTTTACTACCATACACCTGCATTTCACATGAGATTCCTAGCTATGAATATTGTCAAGTCTTCAGCTAAAGATCGGTGTCCCCCAGGGTATCAGGTTAGAGGATGCTGTCTCATTGCAAGGTGTAGAGCTGGATAAACACATGATGTGGGTAACTTAGTTGTCTGCTATTGCCTTTTCATGGAATGCATTAGAAAATAAAATGATGTACAATTTCAAAAAGGGAAGAGCAGGCATCAAGATTGAATGAATGGTTATGATGTGGGCAACTCCAGACTTAAATCAGAAATATTAGAATTTTCTTGGAGTGACATTAAATCACTCATATCATTTAAGAATGATTGCTTCTGAAATTTGTTATTGTTAAGCTTTGTGGGGTTTGGTATGTTCAGATTGTATTCTTGTATTGTCACATATTATTTAGACCTAATAAAAAACTTCACACTTTGAAATAAAACTTCCTTGAGCCTGTAAGTACACATGACCAAATCCTTTCCAGATTACATACTTGTCTGTGGCAACCACTTTTGGTCTTCCAATACCAATAAAACAGACTTGTAGAAAATAATTATAATTTAGAACATTTATTAAATAAATTTTCATATCTGCATTCAGTAAATATAAGTAAGCACTTTCACATGAACCCAGTTTGAGAATGCCTGCACTTAACCACACAATCTGCAGTAGCTCAGAAAGGTGGCTCACCAATTTTCCAGAGATAGTAGGAACTGCCGATGCTGGAGAATCTGAGATAGCAAGGTGTAGAGCTGGATGAACACAGCAGGCCAAGCAGCATCATAGGAGCAGAGAGGCTGACGTTTCGGGCCTAGACCCTTCATCAGAAAAGGGGGAGGGGAAGGGGGTTTTGAAATAAATAGGGAGAGAGTGGGAGGCGGATAGAAGAGGGATAGAGGAGAGGATAGGTGGAGAAGAAACAAACAGGTCGAAGAGGCGGGGATGGAGCCAGTAAAGGTGAGTGTAGGTAGGGAGTTAGGAAGGGGATAGGTCAGTCCAGGGAGGACGGACAGGTCAAGGGGGCGGGATGAGGTTGGTCGGTAGGAGATGGAGGTGCGGCTTGAGGTGGGAGGAGGGGATAGGTGGGAGGAAGAACAGGTTAGGGAGGCAGGGACGAGCTGGACTGGTTTTGGGATGCGGTAGGGGGAGGGGAGATTTTGAAACTTGTGAAATCCACATTGATACCATTGGGCTGCAGGGTTCCCAAGCGGAATATGAGTTGCTGTTCCTGCAACCTTCGGGTGGCATCGTTGTGGCACTGCAGGAGGCCCAGGATGGACATGTCATCTGAGGAATGGGAGGGGGAGTTGAAATGGTTCGAGACTGGGAGGTGCAGTTGTTTGTTGCGAACCGAGCATAGGTGTTCTGCAAAGCGGTCCCCGAGTCTCCGCTTGGTTTCCCCGATGTAGAGGAAGCCACACCGGGTACAGCGGATGCAGTATACCACATTGGCAGATGTGCAGGTGAACATCTGCTTGATGTGGAAAGTCTTCTTGGGGCCTGGGATGGGGGTGAGGGAGGAGGTATGGGGGCAGGTGTAGCACTTCCTGCGGTTGCAGGGAAAAGTGCCGGGTGTGGTGGAGCTGGAGGGGAGTGTGGAGCGGACAAGGGAGTCACGGAGAGAGTTGTCCCTCCGGAAAGCAGATAAAGGTGGGGAGGGAAAGATGTCTTTGGTGGTGGGGTCGGATTGCAGATGGCGGAAGTGTCGGAGGATGATGCGTTGGATCCGGAGGTTGGTGGGGTGGTACGTGAGGACGAGGGGGATTCTTTTTTGGTTTTTATTGCGTGGACGGGGTGTGAGGGATGAGGTGCGGGAGATGTGGGAGACACGGTTGAGGGCGTTCTCGACCACCGAGGAGGGGAAGTTACGGTCCTTGAAAAACGAGGACAACTGAGATGTACGGGAGTGGAATGCCTCATCCTGGGAGCAGATGCGGCGGAGGCGAAGGAATTGGGAATAGGGGATAGCATTTTTGCAGGAAGGTGGGTGGGAGGAGGAGTATTCTAGGTAGCTGTGGGAGTCGGTGGGCTTGAAATGAATATCGGTTTCGAGGTGGTTGCCCGATATGGAGACAGAGAGGTCCAGGAAGGGGAGAGAGGTGTTAGAGATGGTCCAGGTAAATTTAAGGTTGGGGTGGAAGGTGTTAGTGAAGTGTATGAACTGTTCGAGCTCCTCGTGGGAGCACGAGGCGGCGCCGATACAGTCATCAATGTAACGGAGGAAGAGGTGGGGTTTAGGGCCAGTGTAGGTACGGAAGAGGGATTGTTCCACGTAACCTACAAAGAGGCAGGCGTAGCTTGGGCCCATGCGGGTACCCATGGCTACCCCCTTTGTCTGTAGGAAGTGGGAGGAATTGAAAAAGTTGTTGAGTGTGAGGACGAGTTCGGCTAAGCGGATGAGGGTATCAGTGGAGGGGGACTGGTCGGGCCTGCGGGACAGGAAGAAGCGGAGGGCCTTAAGGCCATCTGCATGGGGAATGCAGGTGTAGAGGGACTGGACGTCCATGGTAAAGATGAGGTGTTGGGGACCGGGGAATTGGAAGTTCTGGAGGAGGTGGAGGGCGTGGGTGGTGTCACGGACATAGGTAGGGAGTTCCTGGACCAAGGGGGAGAAAATGGAGTCTAGATAGTTGGAGATCAGTTCGGTGGGGCAGGAGCAGGCGGAGACAATGGGTCGACCAGGGCATTCAGGTTTGTGGATTTTGGGAAGGAGATAGAAGCGGGCAGTGCGAGGTTGGGGAACGATGAGGTTGGAGGCCGTGGGTGGGAGGTCACCTGAGGTGATGAGGTTGTGGATGGTTTAGGAGATGATGGTTTGGTGCTCAGGGGTGGGGTCATGATCAAGGGGGCGGTAGAAGGAGGTGTCGGAGAGTTGGCGTCCGGCCTCGGCGATGTAGAGGTCAGTGCGCCATACTACAACTGCGCCTCCCTTGTCCGCGGGTTTTATGGTGAAGTTGGGATTGGAGCGGAGGGAGCGGAGGGCTGCACGTTCTGCGGGGGAGAGGTTGAGGCGATTGATGTCTCGACGGCAGTTGGAGATGAAGAGGTCGAGGGAGGGTAGGAGGCCTTGGGGTGGTGTCCAGGAGGAGGGGGTGTGTTGGAAGCGGGAGAAGGGGTCAGTAGAGGGAGGGTTAGGTTCACGGTTAAAGAAGTAAGCGTGGAGGCGGAGGCGGCGGAAAAACTGCTCTATGTCCAAGCGTGAGCGGTATTCGTTGATCTGTGGGTGGAGGGCCACCTCTGCAGCAAGTGGGACTTGAACCCAGGCCTACCAGTTCAGAGATACAGACACTACCACTATGCCACAAGAGGGCCATTAGAACATTACCTAGTTCTCAGAATTAACAGTTCAGTGAGAACACCATGGACCATAGACTCCCTTTTTAAAGTTAGGTACAGGCACCACTGTGTGATTTGAACCCATGCTCACCTGTTCACTAGACAGGTGTTTTAAACCAGCTAAGCCACGGCACTGCCAAGCTACTCTTAATATCATAATTGTATGGTAAATTGAAAACAGAACAAATGTATTTAAGGCCTGTTAAATATTTTATTAGTCTCCTTGCATTCAAAACTATCACTTAAATTTTGAGCTTCCGCAAAGATTAGCAAATGAATGTAATTAGTGGTGATTAATACATATGTGGATCATGGTCCATCTTGCCAGCAAGGAAGTTTCAAGTTGTGGTTAACATAATTTATATTTCAAATTCTATAATTTTCTGCCCTGATCTTGGATGAACAGAACAAAGAAACACCATTATAATCATTTGGAATCATGAATCCAGTAGTTCTCTCCAATTAAAAATTACATACCCTCATGATTTTATTGGGTCCACCTGGGTAAGGATGTAGGTAAAGGCACATTAGCATAGTGAACGATCAGGAGATAAAACGGTTTCACGACAATCTCAGTCACTGGTAAGTTCTTTACAGGATGAGGTGTAGGGGGCTGAAAGTTATATCTATCTCATCATATTTTTCTCATGAAAACTTTTACAGCACTGAATTTATCATGAGTGAGCTCAGAGAGTGGTCACTGATTGCCCTGTCTACTACTGTTAACTGGAAATGAGCATATGCATCTGAGAACTTGCAGATTGGTCCCAAGCAAAGCTTTTCTCCTTTATCTCATTTGGGCCTGCATCTATTCCATGGTTGCTTCTGACAAGAAGAATAATATCCCGATTTCAAAAAGACACAAACATTTGATGACACCTAACGCAAGCGACTGCAAATCTTTAAAGTTTGGCTGTGCTGACAACGATCTGGTTGGAAGGGCAGGATCTTGCCTTGCAAAGCCACATTTCTGTTGGCAATCATGCTGGAGAATGGAGAATATAAAATAAGCCTTTTAAATCAGAGATTCTTTAATTAATTTTGCAAAGGAGTGCCAAGCTCCCTTTATGATCCAGGCAATTCTCATAGCCAAAAACAATGTAGTGTTTGAATAATACAAAGGATCTCTTGTACAATATCATGAGATTAGGTTACACAAAGATAATCAATGTTGATTGTCAGACTGGTTCCACTTAAACACAGTAATAAATGCAACCAACAGAATAGTCTGAGATAACAAGGTGTAGATCTGGATGAACACAGCAGGCCAAGCAGCATCAGAGGAGCAGGAAGGCCGACGCCCCAGGCCTAGACCCTTCTTCAGAAAACAGAATAGTCTGTTTGTTTCACTGGCCAGCACCATTTACTCAAGGCTAATAGCAGACAAGACTATTAATTCTAATTTCTAATAAATTGGAAATCATCATGAGTTAAGCCACTTCATGTGCTCTGCATTTTGCCCATCAGTGGATGCTTCTCCAGGTCTATCCTTTGACACGGTACACATTATTCCAGGTCCTGGTTAAGCACTGAGTCTGAGATTTGCGTGCTGCAGATTTTTGGTAGAATGGCAATCAGCATGATCATACTGAGTGGCAAAGTAGGCTGGATGGGCCGCCTAGTCCTGCTTCGTTTATGTTCTTGGGGTCTAACTGTATTTAAATGTGGGTTAAAGCTCTTACCGCCCATGCCCTTTTCACTTCTTGCATAGCAAAGTGAACAGAGTGGGGTTTGGCCTGCTCATCTACAACAACCTTAGCAAAAGAACCACAGAAATGACAAAGATGTAAACAAGATTACCACAGATCTTTTTTCTGAAGTTCCTGCAGTTCTTCCAATGAAGTTGCTACAGGGGATTAGCCATTTGAATCTGTTCCACCATGCAATATAATCATTCTGACCATCCAGCTTGGTAACCTATTCCCACGTTCTCCCCTTACCATTTGATCCCTTTAACCCTAAGACTTGCATCTAACTCCGTCATGAAAAAATTCAATGTTTTGGCCTCACCACTTTCTACGACAGAGAATGCCACAGACTCACCACTCACTGGGTGAAGAAATTTCTCCTCATCTCAGTCCTAAATGGCCTATACTGTACCATTAGACTATGACCCCCATGTTGCGGACTCCCTGATCATTAAGAACATTCTCCTGGCATTTGTCCTGTCTAGTCCTGTTAGAATTTTGCATGTTTCTATGACATTTCCCCCATTGTCTTTCTAAACTTGATTGAATATAATCCTAACCAGTTTCTCTTCATACATCAGTCCTGCCATCCAAGGAATCAGTTTGATGAACATTATTGTACTCTTGCTATATCTAGAAAACTTTCCTCAGAGAAGGAGGCCAAAACAGCCCACAATGTTCCAGATGTGGCCTCACCAAAGCCCTGTACAATTGCAGCAAAATATCCCTGCTCCTATACTTGAATGCCCTCGCAACATACTATTTGCTTTCTTTACTGCCTGTGGTTCCTGCATGCTTACTTTCAGTGACTCATGTACAAGGACACCCAGGTCTTGTTGCACCTTCCTTTTTCCCAATCAATCACCATTTAGATTGAAAAATAAATCTGTCTTCTTGATTTTGCTACCAAAGTGGTAACCTCACATTTATCCACATTATGCTGCATCTGCCATGTATTTGCCCACTCATTCAACTGCCCAAACCACACTGAAGCATCTCTGCAGTTTTCTCTTGGTTCACCCTCCCACCCAACTTTGTGCTGTCTGCACACTGGTCACATTTAATCCCTTGATCCAAATCATTAATGTGTCTTGTAAATAGCTAGGGTCCAAACATTGGTTTCTGCTGTATCCCATACCTCACTAGCTGCCACTAGGAAAAAGATCCTTATTTATTCTTACTCTTTGTTTCCAGTCTGTCAGTCACTTTCTTAACACATCAGTGCACTACCTGTCATTCTCCATGTGAATGCTACATTCTATTACATGGTCACTCTTCCCCAAGCAGTTAAGCACAGCTGGATTGCCAATTACTCCTTTCTCGTTACACAACACCAAGCCTGGGAAGGCCTGTTCGTTCTTCAACATACTGATCATGAAACTATCTTGTACACTTTCCAGGAATTCCCCCTCTTATGGCATTGTTACTGATTTGATTTGCCCAATCTTTATGCAAATTAAAGTTGCTTGTATTACAGCTTTACCTTTATTGCTTGCATCTCTAATTTCCTGTTTAATTCTCATCTGAAATTACCACTATGGCTTGAGGGTCTATACACCACCCCCAATATCATTTTCTGCCCCTTGGTGTTTCTAAACTCTACCCATACAGATTCCACTTCACCAGACCCAATATCTATCCTCACTATTGGTGTTAATGTCCTCTTTAACCAGCAATGCTACATCACCTCACTTTCCTCTTTGTCCTTCCTAAAAACTGAATACAGCTGGATATTCAATTCCCATCCCTGGTCACTCTGCAGCTGCATCTCCATAATCCCAACTATGGCATAGCTATTGATGTCTATTTTCAGGACTAATTTAGAAATTTTACAGTGCAGAAGGTCATTCCACCCATCATGTCTGTACCAGCTCCCGAAAGAGATACCCAGCTCATCTCATTCTCTAGCCTATCTCCATAGCCCTCTAAATCCATCACTTTCAAATATTTATTCAGCTCTATTTTGAACTTCCAATGGAATCAGCCTCCATCACTCTCAGTTAGGATTGTGAATGCGTTAACTCAGAGTAAAGTAGTTTCTCCTCATCTCACTCCCAACTCTCTTGTTGACCATCCTTAAAATTGTGACCTGTGTTAGTGACATACCAAATAGTGGAAATAGAATACCCTTCTTTACCCTGCCAAAATTGTTCACAATCCTTAACATCCCAATAAAGTCATCCTTTTATCCACTTTGTGGTGAGCAAGGCCTTGCGTCTTGTCTTTTTAAGATTTAGTCCCATTCAGGTCATTTTGAGCTGTGGCCCAATTGGATTCTTGCCCTTTAATTCTGTCTATCACTGTTGTTGTTTCCCATTGTCTTTTGCTTTTATCCTGGTTTCCCTCTCTTCTGCCTTACCCTGGTATTTTTGTTTAAACCCTCCCCAACTGCTATAACAAATACTAGGACATCAGTTCCAGTCCTGCCCAGATGTAACTCCTCCAGCTTGTACTGGTGCCATCTCCCCCCGGTGTTAGTCTCAATTTCCCTCTGTGAAAAGTTGCCTTTTAGCTCCTATATGGAAGAGAAGTACTTGATGCAACAAAACAAAAACAAAACATTCTATTCCAACCACTTTATTCTGATTTTTGCTGAAATCTGTAACCATTACAAGCATTTTTGAAATACAGTATCCTTTTGATCATTATTAAATATGGAAGAGCTCCATAATAATTCAAGAGACATGTGTAAGTGATTGTTGCTTGGGTGGGGTGAGGTTTAAAAGCTCAAAGCTGCAACATTATATCCAAATATCGCACTTGATAAGCACACATCAGTTCTCCTGAATTTTCCACCATCTGATATTTACAATTAAGGCTGAAGAATCTCGTGTTAAATGAATTTAGTCTCTTGCAATTCAAGTTAATCACTTTAACAAACGTATCAGTGAAAGTCACATGTTCAGTATGAGAAAGAAACAGCTCCTTATGAAATAGTCAATCACATTCATGCCATTTTGGGGAAAAAAAACTTGCAAGGCATTTGATTTCCAATAACATTCTTACAACAAAAAAGAGTTTGATTCTATATGCATATCATCCTCTAATTCAAGTCTGCCATTGTATCCATCAATATATCCCAAAGAAAATCAATGTCATGCTGCAATGTAAACATATATAATTTATGTGCAACTAGAACAGAAATTCCAACAGCAGTAACTGATTCCTCATTACACATTCCCTTACATTTAGTATTAGAAAGCAATTTGCATTGCTGCAGTTGTCATTACATTTCTGTAGTTACTTAACAGTCAAACTATTTAACCAGAAAAAATGAGTGGGCTCTATTTTAATTCTTGGACAGAAGGGCATCCAGGAATTTGGCTGCAGACAATGGGAAGCTTGGTCAATTTTAACAGTTGGGCCTCACAAGCAAGCTGTTTGCCTATTTCCCATCCGTAACAGCCAGGAAATGCTTGCTTCACCATGAAGGTTGGCAATAAAGAGGCCACTATAGGAGACCTGTGGAAATAGTTCTCAGCACGCACAGAATGGATAAGATGAACTCAGCAGGGGAGTTGTGAACAAAGGGGCTGGGGGAAGCCTAAGGTCATCTTATTGGCTTTTCTTATCTGGGCCTCAGTACTGCATTGACTTGGCAGAAACGTTACCCTTGCTGTCCCCACCACTTAAGCTTTCAAGTAAAAGCAATAAACCAGTGCCAATGTTGCTGTCAGTAACTGATCTGACTACGTAAGACAGACCCTAGAATGTGCCTTTAAAATTACTCATCCAGTTTGAAGCAGGAACAGAATGGTCCAATCGCCTGTTTGCTTTTAGGTGTCCTCCTTGTACTTCCAATGAACTGTGTGTGAAAAGCACCTGCAGAAATGCTATTGAATATGCTTTAAATGACAGGCAACCCATTCCCAATATCACCAGCACCAAACTGAGCAAATGAAAAGATTTCAGCGGAGGTCACATTTAATATCCTCCACTTGCCAGCAAATTAGTGTCATGAATGAATGATTGAAAAGTCTCCTTTGGTTAACAGAGGTAAGTTTTGGTTGCAGCAAAATTAAAACAACCGTAAAATTCCAAAATTGAGAACACAGATCTAATGATTAATTTTCTACACGGCTTAAACTGATTGACTCTTAGGGAAACTGCTTTTATTTTGTCAATGTTTGAATCGTTGAGGCGTTTTCAGGCCAGGAGTAGGAATCAATTCGAAATTCATCGTAGTCAGTGCTGTAAACAAGGGAGTTGATATAAGCTGCTTTGTCTTCAGGTTCTGGGTACAGAGACGCCATTCCATTTCTAAATGCGTATTCAGCAATCTGATAAGAAAAAGGTGACACATGAGTCCTGCAGCTAGGTTAAAGTCATTTTATTCTTGAAGGCTTTCAAATATTTCTAAACTGCAATTACATTATCCTTAAAGCTATGAATGACAATCTCATTTATACAAAAGGTAGATTTCACAGTCATTTCCATACCGTTGATAGAATCAGCAATGAGTTATTCCAAATATGCATTTCATATTTATCTCAGCAGAAAATCCCTTAATGAAAACATGTTAAGTCTGTAGCTGATGCCATTGGTAAGCAAATTAGATATTTTATGAAAACAAACTATTGCAGATGCTGTAATTCTGACATTATTATGAAATGCAGGAAATACTCAGCAGGTCCAGCAGTATTTGTGGAGAAAAGAAAGAAGCACAGGGTTAGTGTCACAGGTCAATATCTTTCACCTAATTGAAACGTAAAGCTGAATTTTACCAGAATTCAGTTTCAATTTCAGGGAGATTGGTGGAAACCTAATGGGTTACCTCATGCCATTGTGCGCAATGCCTCATTAGCTGTGCATCACACCCTGATGGCACCTCTCTTGCTCTATCTTCTCTCAACGTTGGCAAAGTACTCACCATTGCTTAAGGCAGGCATCAACTTTAAAGCTCAACCATGCACCAGGTCAGGTGCCAGCCAAGAGCTGGCCTACACAGTGTAAACAGTGGGAGGGCAACAAAAACAAAATACTTCTGAGGGCAGAGATAATAAGAACTGCAAACGCTGGAGTCAGAGATAACAGTGTGGAGTTGGAGGAACACAGCAGGCCAGGCAGCATCAGAGGAGCAGGAAAGTTGATGTTTCGGGTCGGGATCCTTCTTCAGAAATGGAGGAGGGGGAAGGGAGCTCTGAAATAAAGAGAAAGAGGAGGGGTGGGGCTGGGAAAAGTAGGTGGGATGGTGATAGGTGAATGCAGGTAGGGAGTGGCGGGGATTGGCCAGTGAGGTGGGATAGAAGCTGGACAGGTTGGTAGGTGGGACAGAATCAACTGATTCGCCACTGTTCCGGGACAGGGAAGATTCTCTCTGTTGACTGTTTTTCTCTCCATAGATGCTGCCTGATCTGATTATTTCAATATCCTGTTCTGATGTCAGGGAACTTGTAGTTTTAGGTATTTTGCTCACAAATTATAAAGTGAGCTATTTGGCTCCTGAACAATACTCCATCTCACCCAATGCTCCTTCTTTAGGCCTGCTCTCTGTAAGCCAAAAGCTTCTCATGAGCAAAACACACTCCAATGCTTCTCCCACACTCGTTCACTACGCAGTCATTGATCGGTAGATGCCTGATTCCACAAATCTTGACTCCAATCCATTTAGCCACACCTCACTAGAACTGCCCCATCTGCTTACTGCTCCCCATCACATCCTCAAGTCTGTATGTATGGCTGCTAGTTCAGATGTTCTCTATAATCTCTACAAATGACTCTGTTTAACAGTGGCAACATATCTCACCCTTGAAAGAAAAACATTCTAACTTTTCACCTGGGCTTTCATGTATCTCCTGTGTTCCTCTTACTGCATCAGCAGCACATTGGGCACTACGGCCTCTTTAAAACTGAATGTCGTATTTCCCCTGCACCCTCAGCCCCTACAGCAAATTTTAAGTAGTAGTCTGCCCCTCCCAGTTCCTTACTCACTAACCAGGCATTTAGTTCCTCATCTTCATCTCCATCAGTAATGTTTATTTTTCACAGAATAGATCATTTGAAGCAATCCAACTCTCCTCACTGAGCACTCCCCACTGTCCCCACCAAGGATTCAAAATAGGATGAGAAGTTATTCCCAACTGCCATCGCTAGGCATTCAAATATCACCCATCACTTCCTCCTTCTAATGACAACTTCTTCCTCCCACGTTCTGCATTCGTAGAATAGTAATAACAAAAAGAGGGCGATCACTCAATCCTTTGAGTTTGTGCCAACACTCCTCTGGCTAGTTCTTCCCCTCCTCCTTTAGAATGTTTTTTAAATGTTGCACAAGAACCTCATGTTGCACGTGGTTCTTTTGTCAACTCACTTGAAAACTGGAATCACTGTCCTCTGGAAATAGCCAGCCACTGGAAAATGTTGCTATTTAACAACTTGATCCCAATCCAGCATCATTTTAAGCACTACCATCAAATCCTCTCAGACTGAAAGAGTGACTATAGCTTCTCCAGTCTATCCATGTAACTGTGATTTCTCCCCTCACTCTCTGGAACCATTCTTATGGATCTCTTCTGCTTTCCCTCTAAAGTCTTCATATCCTTTCTAAAAACTTGGGCCCAGAGCTGAACACAATACTCCAGCTGGGATCAAACTAGTGTGTATTTTTTAAAAATAAAAACCATTTAGCATAACATCCTGGTTTTTGCACTTTTAGATTTCTATTTATAATGTCCAGGATCCCATTTGCTTTATTAATTGCTTTAACTTACCCTGTCACCTTGACAATTTGTGCATCAATAACCCAGCTCTCTGTGTTCTTGAATTCACTTTTATCTCATGGACTTGGCTGCGCCACATACCCACTGCTTCAACTCTCTCCTGTCCTGTTCCTCTCCCTCATAGCGTTCCTTGTGTCCTTTCTGCTCATTCCCCTCTGCCCTCTACCTCCTTTCCCTAATCTGGACCAACTATCCTACCTTTAACCCTGATGATCCTGAACACTTGATCTTATTTAGGTCTGTATATTGAAGATGTTAATTGAATCTTTAGTAAAAGCAAAATCAACAGAGAAAATAATCTGGTCTGTCCTGCTATTGTCAATAATTCTCATATTAGAATCTCTCAAAACATTGTCATTAAATAGAACCAAAAAACAGGTAAAATTGACAAGGCCTTGTAAAAAATGTCATTACCTTCACAGCCACCGCGAGGGACGTAGCTCTGATGGCCTTCATTGGAGGATATAAGCGACCTTCAGCCAAATGTTCCTCAAGTACCTGCTCAACTATAGTCTGGAATACAAGAACAAAAACGCATATGGAAGATCTGGTTTTCTGCAACATTATTCAAATAAAACAATGCTCCTGACAATGACAAGATGATATTTAGTGATTTCATGCCCTAGAATTTTGCAGAGTTGTAGAAACTCCACAGACCTTTTGAATTGGTGGGGATTGGACCCAATTCCAGGTGTGCTGCCACATTTCCCTGTGAACTTAACTTTTGGCAGCACTGCAGAAGATTTGGGTGAGGGGGCAGGGGAACACTGTGGGCCTATGACCTTTGAGATTGTAAACCTGGCCAGCCCCATTGCAGGGATTAACATCTCCTCACATGGTTTCTGTGCAGTTGGGCAGTTGGGCAGTTTCTTGAGTACTTACATTCAGAGTCAGGATTCATTACTTGACAGGATGCATGAGAGAGTGCACATGTGGGAATTTTCCGAATGTTGATTTCAAAATGATGTACTTGTACCCACATGCCTTTTATTTCTAACCCCAAAGGTCCCTCATATACTCCATGACAACTCATGATACCCCAATGGTCCCTCAGTACTTTCAAGGCAAAGGACGATCAGCACCCATTCACATCATTCATTTCAATCCTTCCATCCAAATTTTATGCCTATCCATTGAGCCCCAAGAGCCCCTCATACCATCCATGTCAACTCATAGCATTTATATGCCCATTCACCTCAACCGAAACAATGAGCTCAATAGTGACAATGGCATGTGTGCAAACACTTACAAAAACAGCCTTTCCTAACTTTCTTTTGAAAAAAAACCTATTACAACAACCTTAGAATGTCAATCAACAAGACTTTTAAATCATTAATAGATGAAACTACAAGCACTTGACACCTCATTGATCTATTTTGTTTATTTACACATGACAAAGGAAGAAACTGTCAAACAAAGCATTCCTTTGTGTGCATCTGTTTCAACAAGTTGCTGGAAGTCTTGCCCCTCAGCTGAGCATACATAAAAAAAACAGAAGGAGTCTTGGGGTCGTGTCCCTACCTCTGATCCAAGTCCAACCTGCTCCAGAGGTGGGTCACACCATGTCCAAACAGCTTTACTAAATATGTAATGAGGCATACCCCAGTGCAAGTACAGATAGAACACATTCCTGTACCCGAGCACTGAAAGACCCCAGCCCTAGACTTGCCCCTCCCCTGAAAATCTGGAGGATGGCTACATTTTCCAGACAGGCTCAGTCATTCCCAGTTCATTCCAAAATGCTGAAAGCCTGACAATTTCTAGCCCCACGCAATGTGTTGCCTTATAAAACCGCCCACACTCCCAACCAACCTCAGCCCCAATTTCATCAATTTTCTGAACCCCTGTTGAATGAACGTATCTTCTCCTACTAATGTCAACAATGTGTGAAAAATAAGCAGCTTCTTTCAGTGCACCACGCAATCTGTTGAAACCCCATTCACAATGACAATACTGTGGGTTTTAACTAGTTAAACATCTCACACACCAGGTGCAAAAGGAAATTCCACTGAAGTTACAGGAACATAGCAGAAGACCAAAAGATAGCAATACCTTAAATCATTAAGATGTTACATTTGTTTTATTTCAACCAGCATATACTGGGCATATTAATGACAGTGAACCCTTCATGCGTCCACAATCCAGGGGTCTGTAGTTTCAAGGTGACCTTGATAAACTTTCCAAGCAATGCAATAATGGTAAATTGACAATGATATCATCTTCTAACACAAAGGAAACCTCAAGGTGAAAGAAAGGACATGGAAACAGATCTTTTAAAAGAATGACTAGGTGAAAAGAAGCGGAAGGTCCAAACTACTTTGCCGGTGTTTCAAAATGAAAGGCTGCTTCAGAACATCTTCATCACAATCATTTTAGCCCAAATCTCTGCAGGAAGTATATCTGAAAAATAACATCAGCACCGAATGATGAATGGAAATATTAGGAGAACCAAATGAGCATGTTAAGAATGGAATAGAAAATGTGAAAGTTACACACTTGCTTTTATACAAACTATCAGATGTAATGATCCACCATGGCATTGCTGATTGGGTGATGGCTTTCCAATAGGAGGCCATGCAGCACAGAAGTTATATAGCCTTATATAGCTGGTTCCCCTCCCCTTTACTATGTCATGAACATTGGGTTAGCCAGGTTGAACTTTGTCCCAGTTGAGAGTTTCAATCCAAAAGACAGGGTGGTGCTGTTGCCAACTCAATAAATATGTACTTCAGTGTCCAGAGCTGGGTATGAGAAATAATGTTCCTTAATAAGTAAACAGTTTTATTGCCAGCATTCACTCAGGCAAAGATGCAGAAATTATTGAAGGTTTAAGAATGGAGAAATATATCCAACTATGTACTAATGGAAAAAATAACAGAAAAGTATGCAACTACAAGCAATAAAACTCTGCAGGGTATCAAATCTTAAAACCAAGTAATGAGTCTCAAAAAACAGTTCACAGATTGACCAGGGGGTTGTTTATAACTGTTCGGCAAAGCTGCTGTGGCAGGGATTCTCACTGAAGCAACCATTCTGAGTTCATATACAAACAAAATACTACAGATGCTGGAATTCTGAAATAAGAACAAACTTCTGGAGTAACCCAGCAGGAATAAGCAGCATTTGTGAAGAGGGAAACTGAATCAGCATTTCATGGCCAGAATGACTCCTCTTAAGAACTCTGAAGTTAACGCATGGTGATTGTCTTGGAGAGAGCAGTATCAATTTGAAATTCTCGGTCAAACTCTCATTTTACAGGAATAAAGGCTTCAAAATCAGACACCGCTCAACTTTGATGAGAAAGGCTCAAAAAAGATAGCGTGAGAATGTGAAAGAGCATGAGAGAAAGTGAAATGAGGTTGTCTCTTCCGCCCTGTTAGTTCAAAAAACCAATCTTTGTTTTGAAATACCCAAGGACTGAGTCATATGACCGTTCAGACAGGTTCATAAATTCTGTCTCCAAACAAAAAGCTTGTCCTTCACCAGAACAATAGTCTAGCTGTTGTAAGTCAGTGTCCTTTGTTTTGAAAATTGTTCTTTTCAAAAAGTCAGATATGCAGCTGATGATATCAAAAATTAATAGTTATTTACTAGTACAGAACTTGAGTATTAGTGAAACACTAACATCAACAGGATGCTGCGACTATAATTCCAGGTATGTAAGGTTATGCTCCAAAGGCTCGTGGAACATAGCAAACAGAATTTCTCTTTGGCTGTTTGCAACAATGTACTGTCTGTACCCAACAAGCCCGTGCTTGCAAAATTCACAACACAGGTGTCCAATATTAGATGCGATTTCAAGACTGGAAAATATTAGTCAAATAATCCTGAGTGTATGAATAATTAAACTGATAACCAATTTAGGATTGTCATTCATACTCCGTGTGGAACACATATTCACTGGGAGATAAAGATATTAATGCATAAGGCCGTGTTGTTTTCAGACAGAAAAAAACAACTACACACTGTGGCTGTTTCAATTCAACAAAATAAGGTGACAGCTAGTCTCTAGTTCATTTCTCAGGGGAATGCCTTGACCAGAGTCAACTTAGCTGGGTTAAAATTTAAACAAAGTTTTGGAGTTAATGGTCAGTCATCATGAACTGGTGCAATATCCATGGCAACACCTCTACCAACGGGCATTCACTTGCAAGCCAATCAGCTCTCTGCTCCCCTACAACATAATTGTTGTTTTTCCCCTAGTTTGGTACTTCTTACAAATCGTTCTGATATGCGCAAGATGAAAAGCTTTGATAAAATGTGTCCTAAAAATTAACGCTTTGGATAATACATCTTCATAACAATAATTAGACATACAGGGGGCCTCGATTTATGTATGTCCGACTTAGAAGTGCTCATATGTATGACTGCAATCCCATACAGGGATGGGATTTCACTGATCTGTTATATTACTACACTTATGAAAAAGTGCTTTACATTGTTCTGTATTGTTCTCTGAATTGCATACAAATTGACTAACAAACAGATTCCAGAACAGAACCAAGGGAATGCCTGAGAAACATATTTGATTCTTTCCACTACAAGGATTAAACATCTCAAATTATTGAAGCGTCTTAGCTCCATGATACATTTGTATGATATTCACAGGATCCCTACAGTATGGAAACAGGATATTCGGCCCAACAAGTCCACACCGCCCCTCCGAAGAGCATCTCACCCAGACCCATTCCTCTACCTCTATTTCCCACGTCTAATCCACCTAACCTAAACATCCCTGGGCACTGATCGGCAATGCTAAATTGCCTATCCACCTACACTGCACATCTTTGGACTGTGGGAGGAAACCGGAGCACCCAGAGGAAACCCACGCAGACACGGGGAGAATTTGCAAACTCCAGGAGAATGTGCAAACTGATCTCCAATCAATCTTGTGGAAAAGCTGAAACGTCCTTATTTAAATGTTGCAGTTTGGAGGGGAACCAAACTTGCTGTGGTACAACACAGGAAACACAGAGTTTTGGACGATCTGAAATTTAGAGGCTAGATTGTGGGAGACTAGCCCAAAGCATTTGTCTCAAACTAAATGGTCCATAAAAATTACATTTTAAATGAATGCTCCTTCATTCAATAATTCTGAAGATTTATTTGTGCCTTGGGCAGCAGTTAAGTAAAATCTGGATTATAAAGTGAATCTGTGTGCAATGCTTTTGCCATCTCCTGACACTAGAGGGCACAGCAGAGCTGGAGGTGATATGTTGCAAATTAAGTGAGAAAAATATGAAGTTGACTATATCTTGTTTCAAATTGGCTCCAAACAAAAACAGACTGCTTGTAGTGTCTGCCGTTTTCATAAAAAGGCCTGATTATCAATCAAGAGCCTATTCACCCAAAACAGTTAGTGATCACTTTTCTGAAACGAAAACTGATAGCAAACAATACCTAATTAAGGATTGGAACCACAGCCTTCTCAACCTTTGCTACAATAAACCTAAAGTTCAAATCTAAACTTCTCACAAATACAAACTTTGACGTACTAAAATCTCCTATATTGT